AGAAACTGGATTCACGGCTTCGCTTTATTAAAGCTCAGCTGAAGTTCATAAAGCATTACATACTGTTTTTGATCTATAAATTTCTAATCAGAGGCAATATGGTTGTAATGGGCCCTAGTTATGATCACTTTTAAAGTTTGATCCCCAGATATTTACTCGTCAAGCACTGAGATTCCTGCACTCGATCGTTGGTTTGTGACTACATCATAGGTCGTACGAGGCGGACGCATTCCCGGTAAGTCTTACCAGTTAATTAGAACAAGAAATAAAACAAGCTTATACTGATTTCCAAAATATACCTTCGTTGGTACTAAAGACGGAGTTAAAATAGGTATTTTGAAATAATCGGAAGATCCCATTGAACACGTGATTCTATGACTTTTGTTTCTGTTATATCGTGGGTGGCCGTCTATTGGTTACGCCTGCCCTGAACCAGACTACGCGATAAGGAGAAGACAGATAACTCGGGACACTGCTGTATTGTCAGGATAAAACATACAGAGCTTCTGCGTAAGTATATGGGATGACTAAATGGCCAAATATGGTCGTTCACTTGTTCGTTCTGTACAGCCAATGGCGGTGTTCCGGTCGTGAACAATTTCAGCCCACTCCACTGGTTTTATGTTGCTAAGCCGTGTTTGGTGAGCTTCGCCAACGCACCTGCTTTCCGGACGTGTCGTACTGATGTTGACCTTGGGGATGCGTCACCCTCTGCATATGTACTTTTTCCATGTCTGGGCTCGTCCTGGCAGTTTCCGATAGGCGTTGCATGTACAAGCATTTCCGTGATAAATAGGTTCTTCATGTTGATCCTCCAGGTTTCAAAATTCCCGCTTCTCTCCGCTTACAAATATTTGCCCTAGGAGCAACTTCATGCCAGCTCTACCTCTACAACACTAACCCAAGACGATTCAATCTGTCCACCCAGAGAGGCTTGGGTTCTCATTACCTACCGTTTCTAGTCCTAACTTGATTGGTTTTATGTTCATGATGGCACATCGTAACGGCATTATCTCAGAAGCGCCTATTAGCTGTTGATCAGGTGACTACTGTGCTATGTGCTCGTCTTGACAATTGGCTTGCAAATACTTCGTCCCTGACCAAGCAAACGTTATCAGCACATCTCCTAGATTGGTTTGCAATCCAACTCCCATGCTCATGGCAATCCGATCAAAACCATTTAGGTTCGATTTCGCCAGAATGATCAACTGGAATAATTTGTCGACAAATGAAAGTTTATGCGAAATGTATTGAGTCAACATCATCATCAATAAAGACAATAGTTGACAGATGCAAACGGGAGCTCACTTCACTGGTACCTCTTATCGTTTTGCTATGATTTTCAGAATAACGGAGAAAAGTTGACATTCGTTCATGTCCTTGGAGAAATCCGAAAAGCGGTATGTATCCATAGCTTCTCTCTTGGTCAGCGTTGAAAATGCACAAATATTATCACCATATTTGCTCATTCAACTCTTTTGGTTCAGATTTGTCTTAGGTAAACAAATAGAGTAATTTGATACCTTATAAGATCCTACGATGTCAAAACAACAGTAACTAGACAGTTTAGGGTAAAAGTTCAAGGATCCTTCTTAAACTGATCGATTTCTAGTACAACAGCCAACGATATTTACAGATCAAAATACTGGCAATACAGCCACAACAAGGATAAGCTTATTTATTAGGAAGATGGAAATCTTTGTTTATTTGAGACGTCTGGGAAGAGCATTTTGAACTGCAATCAAAATTACTAATTGAATAACTCCGTAGCTCTTGACCAACTACAACCAACACAGGCCTCTTTGGGCAGAAAACAGGTTTCGCACTCTGAGGGAGGGAAAGAACGGCTTTCGTCGTTGAATAGCGCCTTCGAATTCGTCAACAACTTGGTGCATTCCGCTTTCTGGGGTCTCAATTTCATTGGTATGCGAAAATTATACGAACTTTTAAAGAACACTTAAGGATTCATCGGATGAACGTGACACAGAATAGTAGAGCTATATTCATGTCTATATGTCGAGTGGTCCGTCTTTTCAAACATCCATTGTATCATGTTTGAATGTATTGTCGACTATCTATGGAATTTCATTTATTGTAATGACCACGAAACTATGGATAATAATATCACCGTAATGATCCGATCGACTAAATATGCTCAATTCAATTCCAGAGTCTGAACAACAACATAAGGAGAGTGTGCTCACAAAGAAAATTGGCTACGAAAGGAATAGAATCTCACGGAATAAAAGATTTAACTTCAGTATATTTCATGTGGTCATTTTTGAGACAACTGGTGCACACTGTGTGGATAGCTCTAGTGTCAAATTGTAGATAACCGCCTTTTAAAATAGGATCATAGTTACCCTGTTTGCGCTTGGCTGAGAACATTGCAGGAAATGGTAGATATCTAGTGTCAGTGGCGGTTGGGGTCGGATTCTTTCCATATTGTCTGACAGAGCTCGGATATGTCGTAGACCAGCTGTATGTCCCTCTTTCATCCACATTTTAAGGCTTTAAGCGTAATTAAATAGATTGTGGTTGTACTGTAATAAAGCATCAGTGTCAACGCTGATATTGCTGTCTCTGATGCCGAGGATGATTGTCGGACATCCGCTGATTGCCAATGGAGTGCTAGTCCCAATTTCAGTGAACCACCTGGAACCTTAATGATGAGAAATCTGTTTCCACACTGGCCGCGAGCGGACACATATCTTTACAGTATTAGATGATTGCCAGTGGAGTGCTAGTCCCAATCTCAGTGAAACACCTGGAACCTTAATGATGAGAAATTTGTTTCCACACTGGCCTCGAGCGGACACATATCTTTACAGTATTAGATTTCATCCTATTGGTTAGCATTCTGACTGTTTCATTCTGTTTTTCCAGTGCAGAGAAGAATTCAGGTTCTTTTTCACAATTATCAAGATGGCGTCCTTAAAGCCATCATAACAGGTTGGACCATCATTTCTTTCTTCTTAATTTATCGATAAAATACGCCTCGCATCTAATGAGAGACCGCATTCGTTCTCCCCAACAATTTAGATTGCCCTAACAAGCATTACAAAGTACAAAATTCTACTTTATATAGCTCCCTCCCTCTCTCCATTACCTTCAGTGTTTGGATCAATCACGTACGCTGTTGGAGGCATTCCGAAAACTCGATACAAAGCGCCAAGGGATTCTAACAATTCAGCAGATAGAGCAGCTTCTACAAAAACGGAATATAAAACTTTCAGAAGATGATTTGTATCACCTGCAATCCAGCTTTGATTCACATATGCGTGGGTGCATCACGTTTGATGACTTCAAAAGAACAACCCTGAAGGCTTTCAAGCCAGTTTAGAAGTCATTGACGCTTACGACCTTGCGCCTGACAGGCCAGGCCACGATGTTATTTCAAATATTCTGTTATCCACGGAACAGCGAGGAGACCCATCATCTTCAAGCGAATAGGTAGAATCAACAACTTCAGCACAGAATACTCAAGCAAATGAAACTGTGGCTTCAACCCCGATGTAATGGGGAAATATTTCCTTACCATATAATATAGTCCTACATCATGTCAAAATAGTGCCTTGAGTTTGAACAGAGAGCTTGTAAGTTTCAAATATACATTAGCTCATTTCGGACAATCCAGTTTTCTCTCGTTTTGACTTCAATAGTTTCTCCAAATGATTTTTTTACAGGCATCAACTTGGCTCCTTTAATGATTATATTAATGCCAAATAAGTTTAGTGCTCCTTAGTTATTGATGTAAAAGGCTAAATTTTGTTCACTTGTGATGCAGATAGAGGATATCCACTTAGAGCGACGGTAGCAGTGTGGTGGAAACCGTCGTCCTAACAGAAGCGTAAGAAGGAGGTCACGAAAAGTCTTGCTGCTGTCGGTGCTACCAACCTTCCACGATAAGGACTGCGAGATCTCCACTCTGCCTGGTTGGAGACGCTGCATGACATGCCTGCTAGCCGATATCGTTGGGGTTCTTGTCGTCCGTTGCTATCCAGATTGCTCGAATGAGTATTTGTGCCTAGTAATAAGTCCATTTCCCATCCACTTTTATTGTTTCCTTCGAATAAAGCTTTCATATAAATCACTGGTGTACGTTAACGAAGAATCAACGGGATGTCATGCTGACGATGGTGATGATGGTTATGCGGCCACGTTGGGGTTGTACCGAAAATTTTGTTTGCGTCCTTATTTGGATATGGTCTTATTCGCATACTTAGTTGCTGGTAGACTTTTGGCTATCATTTTCAGCTTTACATGGTAAGTAACTGAAATTCAGTGGGCTTAAGCTTTCTTTATGTCTCAGGTCAATACAGAGTATAAAAGTATTGGGTTCAGTCTCATAGGGGGTAAATTAGTACTAGTCATGTTAACGACTGTTGTTAGCCAAGTGGTATTCGAATCAAGTGCAAGCAAGCCAAACAATTGCAGAAAAGAAAATGTATTTTAGATCACATTAGTGGTGTTTCAGTTATGCAAAGAAAAAATACACAAATACCACAGTTTTACAGGAAAATACTTTATACGTAAACATCTTGCTTGGTGCAAGCATTCCGAAAAATGAGCAACTAAGAGCAGTTATGATTTTCGTTCTGCCTACGGAATGGTAGGCGTTTCAAAGAAAAGGAACCTACTACTTACTAGAACAATATAAATTGGATTGCGAGAGTACTAGGGGAATTGCCCTCTGGTCCACTCTTTGAGAATATGGTCTACCTTAACTATCCGGCATTGAACCTTCAGGAAATCCTAATGAGATTTCTATCAATAACCACGCATTGTGCAAAAGATCGTTGTGTGCAGCTGTGTCATATCGTCTCTAATTCAATCGTTTAATGTATGCCGTTTTTCAAAAAGATCGTTTGTTCATCGGAATTGTCCTCTGGTAATATGGACCTCCCAAAAACCCGATAAAGTTCAGTCCTAAGCGACGCTGGCATCTTATGGTGGTTGCACACCAGTCGTGTGACTTAGCAATACCCAGTTTCAACTGACCATGAGGGTTTTTTCTATAAAAAAACAAGTCCTCAGATGGTGTACTTGGCAGATAATCGTGATTGTTTTAGCACTTACCACAATTTTAATGAGTTTCGGAATCAGCAATACCTTTTGCCGAGTTGTCTTTTGTTAGTATCATCAAACAGAAATCAGTACAAATTTATAGAAGTCAACTTTGGAAGTTGTTTAAATCACATATGGAATTACCGCATTAAAAGTGAATACGGCAGGCTTGTAGGATGCATTTGAACAGGAGTAAAAACACGTGTTCAGAGAGGAGGAAATTATGAAATATAGGTTGCCACCATGTCTTTGAACCATGCCAACGTGAACTGCAAGTGGTCTCCTTCTAGCTCAATGAAATGGAGTCGGCCAGTTTCATCTAATCGTTTCAGTCCAAGCCAATCCTGCAAAAGAGGTGCACGTTAAATGAATTCAGTTGCCTTCATTGTGAGTAAATCTGAAGGGAAAACGATGTAATCCGCTGCATGAAAGCAGTTCGTCTATAAATTACTCAGTGGAACATCCCCATGCTTTTCGCATCGCACATTGTAAAAATCGCGCATATGTTGTCCGAACGAAAGTTGTCGTTATTTACTATTTGACGTGATTCACTTCTTGTTTTTATTGGATGATGAAAGCATGAATCGATTATCCCCTCATTCCGCTCTGTCTGAACTACAAGACTCCCGATCAGTGTGTTCAGTTTGATCCGCATTTAGTTCATAATATTGTTAAACTACTGAATTGTGACCAGACTTCTTTGCGAACAGTTTCATCTGCGTTTTACACAAAGAATTGTGCCGCTATCAGTTCAAGACTTCTATATCAACAGGCGTTGGCAATTTTGCCTTAAAAAATTAACAAATTTTCATTCTTCCTGGCACTTTAAATAGATTTTGAAAGGAGCACAGAGATGTTGTAAATCGCCAGTTCGGAAATCATTGTGCATTTTCTTTTTCAAAAAATCGACCTACATTATATGCACGTGACTGACTCTGGATACTCGAGATTGTTCAAAATAGAGCTGTTTATACATTGGGTGGAAACTTCTTTTAAAACTGAATAATGCGTAATTATAGAATTTTCTAGCCTATAACATTGTGTACTTGGTTGACACCATAATATAAAACTTGTCGTCGTTTCTGTCTTCTAGTGCATTGTTAGTGTTCCCTAATTATCAAATTATCTTTTCACTGGGACATTTTCCATTGACTTCTCTTACTCATCAAAATCTACTTTTACAGTCACCTGTACTTTCAGAATGTTAAAAATCAGGTTTTTGTTCGAGCTCAACCATTCAGTTCAAGACACCGGCAGTTGTATCCTACAACAAACTAGATTCTGGACACCTTGGAGGACCCTGTGGCCAGACGCGCTCGGAAAAGACTCTGTAATCTGTCGAAGCAAACCGTGATGCTTGTGCTGCAGGTTCCCTTCTGGAATATGTCGTCGGGCATTAAATGATTTATGTTCTCTATGGTAGACTCTTCATCACCGTCAGCTGTAAGAACCGCGTACTTGTCGTACAGTGGTGGTAGTTTCGTTCACCGATAATTTGAGAGTGGGGTAGGTAGCTGCGCATTGGAAGCAGATAAATTGGAAGCTGATCAATCGGTGCGTAAATACAGGACTGCCGTGGACCGTTAAGTGAAGGAATTGGGAAGGGAGATATGCATTGAAGGCAATAGTTTGGGTGCATGAGCGCCATTGAGAGCGTGACTGGGCGATGTGTGACATGATTCCTAACCATTGATGAGGCCCTTTTCGGGGTCCAAGAAGACGGCAATGACCAGCGCATGTGGGTTTACTGATAGACTGACTGGGCTGACACCAGACGCTTATCGTATTCTCCCTACTTTCTTTCAAAACAGTACTTTGTTTTGAAAAAAATAGTATGGGTATACCTTCAAAATGCACCGGTATTCTTCTTGGAGTGGATTCCAATGTGCTTGTGATGATGTCCTCGTTTAGGCAATGTTATCGGTTTTTATACTGAGTCCAACAAAAATTCCAGATTTTAGGCGTTTGTTGTAAGGGACCTTAAGAGCAACCTTCAACAACAAATAGCACGCATTCTTGAGGGCAGGAAATTTTATTTAATCTGCATCTGTAATCTTATTCTGAGCAGATCTACTGGATCATCCGGATGGGAGACATGAAAGCTTGTCAACTAGTTACCAATATTTTTGTCTGGACTTTGGTGTGGATGGATTCTGTGCATATTTTTTCATGCCTCACTCTGGGTTCGGTAGCGGGGCAACAGGTCTTTAGTAGGGAAAGATACTAATTATTCCTCAGCTGTTTCTCAAAAAATGCCTGTTATCGAGAGTAAATGACTAGAAGG